ATTATTGATCGGATAGATAGATCTTGATCGAGGATCGAGAATGCTCAATGGAGGAAGAGTTCGCTCTACCTCCTTTCCTCGAAGCTACATTTCTTTGTGTAGGAGCGGTCTAGGTTTCGGAGCTGCTTCACTGTCATGAGCGGATCGGAAAAAGGTAATTAGTGTGCCGAACGTGCCCGTTTTATATCGGCTTAATTGCCCGCGTCGGCGCGCGGCGGTATTACCCCTTCCGAACGGGTTACGGAAAGCGGTACGGTCGGTGGCCCGCTCGAAGGGGTTCGGGGTGTGCGCCGAACGCGGGTTTTCGCCGGTCGCCGTATCGGGACACGTCGGCAACACTCGGCGGTATTCGGCTCCCTTTTTGAAAGCATTAAAGAAGTTTAAAAAAATGTGGGCGCACCGCGTCCCTGCCTATGCCCGGCGGGTGTTCTGCCGAGCGGCAGCTTCCGGCGAATCGCATGCCGGGTAGATACGATGCATCTAAGGGGGTGCACGGGGTGCATCGTTACAACCTACTTTGTTGTCTTGACGTATTTGATTGGAACAATTATAACATAAAATTTTTTACGAAGAGTCTGTAATGTACAATTTAAAAATTTTTCAAAGCAACACTTCATATCGTTAATAATGATCTCTTCCATTTTACAAAGAGAACTACAGCGCCATGTTTTTCTAAGTTTATGTTTTGATTCTACTAAAAGTAAAATATTAATTGCTTTACTTTCAGAATCCATTATAATAGATTTAGAAATATTATATACATGATAGATAGTTTCTACAAAATATAATTCCGAAGAAGCGGTATGTTTATCTTGTCCGCAAAACGTATTTACGTAATCTCTACTAAATTTTGATGAAGAACATTTTGTTGCATGTGTCAGACAAACTTCAATTTTTTGTTTACATTTATTAAATATTTTTCTCATTTGTAGAATATAATTTTTTCTTATATAAAAGCACCATTTTGTTATACGTTCAGCCTCCAATCTATTTTCAGACAATGACGACATTCTAAGAAGCTTTGATATGTTTCTAATACACTTTTCTTTATTATACTTTATATTCTGCTTATTTTTATATAATAGTATATTGTTTTTATGTAATCCATAATATTCTTTTTTCAATTTCTTTATATCATTTTTATGTCTTTCATAATATTCCTTTCTCGATTTCTTAATATCATTTCTCTGTTTTTTATAATATTTATTGTTCGATTTTTTTATATCATTTTTGTATTTTTTATAATATTCTTTCTTTGATTTCTTTATATCATTTTTGTATTTTTCATAATATACCTTATTGAATTTTTTAATATTATTTTTATGTTTTTCATTATATAAATTTTTTAAATTAAGAAATTGTTTCTATGTAATTCATATTTTTTATTAAAAATGTTTTTTTTTAGTTACGCATCTTTTTTTTTAGTTACGCATTAGTTACGCATTTAGTTATAACATCATTCTTATCTGAATAAATGTCACAGTTCTTCCTTGCTTGTTTTTTATTTCTATTTCTATCCTATTAACTATTCATTTTTCTTTTTATACCATGTTGATCTCTAGTTAAATCTTTAGTAATTGCAATATTATTAGTATCCACACTATTCTCACTGAATGTATGATTAATTTGTTCTAAATTTATTCCTATAACTTGAGGGAAATGTTCTATTCTATTTGATTGAAACATTTCTGCTAAATGTTGACGCATTAAATTATGGTCATATATAATTTTATTTGGTTGGAGATCAAATAAAAGAGATACTGCAAAGGCTATTGCAAAAACCCCGCAATCATTACCATTAGGTTGTGATTGGACCGTTGGAAACTGTACTGGTTGCTTATCAAAGGAGTAAAATGGATATAATTTTGTGTTTTGATGTCATCGATAAAGAGGCTTGTTGGTCGTGCTAATTTCGTAACTGTTGGAGCATCCTCATCTGCGTTGGGATATTCACGATATTCGATGTATTTCACATTTGGCGTCACGCCTTCCATTGGCGTTTTTAACATTGTTGCACGACAGTTTTGACAATTATTTCTTTCGATACACATATCCTGCAAAAAATATTATCGCATTTTCATCATAATTATTGAGTATACTTACATTTTCTGTGTCTATATCATATTCTTCAAGAATGTCTGCATGTTTATTAAATAAATTTGTTATCGAGGCAACATCATCATCATCATCATCAATATCATCATCAATAATAGCAACATTATTTTTATTCATACGATTTTCAACCGTCTTAATAAGCTGATTTGGTTTATTAATGAGAGCCTCACTTTCATGACATTGCACATTTCCTTTATCACTTGTTTCAATGTAATCTGTGGAAATTATATGCCTGAATGATAATCGAACCATTCTTGCTGTTGAATTAGGATTAAATTTTCCACGTTGCTGAATTTTTGAAAACAAATGTTCTACCGCATCTTGGTTGCATAAACATGTTGCAAGTTCAAATCCTTCATTTTTACTTGCAAGTTCCTTATACAGAGAAAGAATTGCTTGTGTCGTAATGGCAAAACGTTTGAAGCAAGGAACTTGACTTATTTTATTCGGAAACTTGGACCATCCTAGGGATCGTTGCATAAAGTTTGATAAAAATCTTCAATGTCAGGACTTTTTCTTGACAATGGCCGTTTTCCACCAAATGTGTAACATTAAAACTATATGAATTACAAGCATCAATTACGTTGTTCATATGCTCTGCAAAATCAGCTGTTGCTTTCCAAATACTTGAATCTAATTCTTTATCATCACCAGCTATTTTAATTGCAGCTGCGAATGTATAATTGAAATGCTAAATAATTGAAATGCTCTTTTCACATTCATAGCTTCAAAATAATTCGGACGAATGTGTGCTTATGGTGTAATATGGGATAATAAATTTGAGCCTCCTTTTGTCGCATTATCGCACCAGATTTTTGCACCAGGTCTTTACAAAATCAGAATATGATGCGATTATTTCTCCTTTGCAATATATCTTGTCATGCGTTCTAAGGAAACTCGCTAGTTTTTTTACTAAATGCGGAAAATCATATGAAGCATGATATCTTTTATTATTGTGCATGAAATACGGTTCTTGGACATCAACGCCTAGTTGACTATAAGTGGCTTCATTATTTGTATCTTGATCACATGTTACTAGTTTCATGTCAGCACCTGTTTCAATCAATTTATCCAGACACATGACTAAGTAAACTATTTCATGTGATCTCATACATTTGCCTTCTAAAAAATATGTCAATGGTTGTTGCCATGGATGATGTGCATTCAGACTGTAACGTTCCGTTTTCCGGAGATTCGATTGCGGATAAACTCGTCGGATTCGGGGTAATGAATGGTGAGCGAATGTGTGATGTAAAAGAAAAGAAAGTATTTATTCGAATTAAGGCGTGTATACAAGTCGTGTGTGTATCTCGCTGCGATTATAACTGCGAGCGTGTTCGAGTGTATAAATTGTTTGATTACGCGTGCAGAATGCAAGTCAGAATGCGCCGATATAATCGTGGCGCGTATGTTCGATAATTCGCTGGTATAATACGCGTGTATAAAACGTTGTTTTGACGCGTGCGGATATGCGCTCGGTATCGGTCGAAGACCTCATGTTGTTGTGACGGTGTTTTTGTCGCGTTTCTTGCACGGGGAATCCCGTCGTTCCGGGAATCCCGTGTTCGAAGAAAAAGCCGGTGGATTCCGAGAAACAACAAGTTCTTTCCGCGAAATAATATGCGGTCTCCGCGAATTAAAATATCGCGCGAATAAGTTGGAATCGCGTGTGAGAACAGCTGGCCTCGAGAACTCTCGATCGGGGCGGCTCTGAACTCTACCTTCCGTGGGTTTTGCCAGCCGGGATGTGGAGGAGCGGATGAAGGCAGTACCCCGCGCGATAACGAGAACTCTCGGCTTAGGCTGAGCACGCTCAACCTAATTGATCGGGGCGGTAGTGCCGGTTTTCAGGTATCTGGTAAATTCTCTTGAGCGTACAGCTTAGAGCGGAACAGGAGAATGTGTCTATTAGCCGAAACACGGCCTTTTTATACCGGCTAATTACCCGGTCGGCGCGCGGCGGTTTACCCCTTCCGAACGGGTTAATTGCGGTACGGTACGGTCGGGCCCGTTCGGAGGGATTCGGATTTTGCGCCGAGCGCGGGTTTTCGCCGGTCGGTCGGTCGGGCCGCGTCGGCTTCGCTCGGCAATTCTCGGCCGTTTTGGATTTACAACGGCCCCGGTTTTTAATAAGTATTAAAAATGTGGGCGCACCGCACCCTGCCTCTGCCCGGCGGGTGTTCTACCGGGCGGCAGCTTCCGGCGATGTTGTTGCCGGGAATTCGGAACGGTGCAATCGGAGTGCACCGTTACATCACCCCCCATGTTAAATATGCCCGAATCGGGCATCCGCTTCGGTCGGTCGGTCGGTTGGGCGGGTGGATGCCTGGTCGTCGGCTCTGTTTACAAAACAAACGGTTCTCATCCATTGTTTATTAGGCCGCGCGTGGTGGAATGCGGCGACAATAGCGCACCCTGCCATCGCGGGTGAATCTGATAATCCACCGTCCGGCAGGCGTTCGCGCCTTGTATCGGTGCGATACATAAACTGCGAAATGAGGGACCTCCACGGTGATCCCTGGCTCGACTTCCACGAGGATCGGTGGTGGCGGCAGCGGACCCATTGGTCGTAGGATGGTCGGCGGCCCGGCTGGCGCGTCCCCTCGGTTGACTGGCCGGGGTGGCCTTTCGTATGGCCGCTGGGCCCTTCGCTGCGGTGGTGGCGGTGGCGGTGTCAGGAGAGCTCCTGCTTCTGCCGGTTGACTCGGTCGGACCGCTGGATGGTGGTGCCGACTCGAGGTGGCCGCGGCGGTGGTGGTGCGGCAATGCGGGCGGCGCGGGTTCCTCGGTCCGCGTCGCAAGATTGCTCGCCTCGTACTCCTGCAGTAGAGCGGTTATCTCGTCCAGGATTTCTCGGTTCTGCTCCATCTTCTACGAAGTCTGGCTCAGTTGTGAGCGTTATCGAAAAACGAGGTATCAGGCTCGTGATCGATGTCCTCGCTGGGGGGAATAAGGTTGACATTGTTGTTGTTTGGTGAGCCGCTTTTAAATCCTGGATATGTACATGCCTTATCCGTTTTCCCCTCTTGCTCTTGAGATCTACTATAACGGGTGAGACGATTTTTTGGATCTCGTATGGCCCGCTGAACTTGGGCGCCAATTTGGCGTTGTACGCTTCGCTTTTCTTAGAAAGAGGGTGGTCGCGCTTCCACACCCACTCCCCGACGTTCGGTTTCCAAGGCCGACGCCGGAGATCGTAATGGCGTTTCTGGCGCTGGAAAGCTTGCGCCATATGAAGCTTCACCACTTCGTACGCCTCGGTGAGCTTGTTTCGGATGACGTCAGGCGCGTCCGGTGCTGCTGTCTGCGGGTCGGTGTCTTCCGGGGCCTGTATTTCGCGCCCGTAATTGAGGAAAGCCGGCGTGTATCCGGTCGCGTCGTGGAGTGCCGTATTATAGGCGAATTGCAAGGCCGGTATGTGCTCGTCCCAGGCTCGATGATCTTTTTCGATGTACTGGGTGATCATTGTTTTGACGGTGCGGTTCGTTCTCTCGACCGGATTGCAATGCGGCGAATAAGCGGGTATCGTGATATGCCGGACATTCCACGTTCGCAGACGCTCCTCCAGCTGGGTGGATCTTAATTGTGTCCCGTTGTCCGATAGCACGGACTCGGGTCGGCGTGGCGCAGGAGAATGCGCTCGGTCAGTGCCTTGGTGACGGCGGCGGCGGTAGCTCGGCGCAACGGCACAAGCTCTACCTATTTTGTGAACCGGTCTTGGAGGACGAACAGCCACGTATGTCCCTGGTGCGAACGTGGCAGTGGGCCGACGAGGTCCAGCGTCACTTGTTCCCAGGGTCGGCCGACGTACGTAGAGTGCAGTGCCCCGGCCGGTCGTTGCTGAGCGACCTTGTGGGCCTGGCAGTTCTGGCAGGCTCGTACGTAACCGGCAATTTCGCGCAACATCCCCGGCCAGTAGTACCTCTTGGCGATCCGGGCGATGGTTTTCGCGATGCCCAGGTGCCCGGCGGTGGGGGCGTCGTGGTATTCCTGCAATATCTTCCTCCGGTCCTCCTTGGGTATGCAGCGTTTCCACTGCTCGTCCGGGTGGCTGTCCTTGAAGTCCAGGCTATGGTATATGAGGCGGTGCAGCTGTCCATCCTGGATGCGGTAATCGGGATACGCGGCGGGGTCATTCTGGACCCCTTCCCGCGTGCGGCGGTACCAGGAGCATTCCTGGCGTCTGGCAGCGCAGGTAGCCGGGTGACGCGACAGTGCGTCTGCGACCCGGTTTAATACCCCGCGACGGTATCGTACGTCGAAATCGTACTGCTGGAGCTCGAACACCCAGCGTCCGAGGCGTCCGGTTGGCGCCTCCATCTTTTGAAGCCATCGTAGGGCCTGATGGTCGGTTACGACGGTAAACGAGTAACCCTCGAGGTAACTCTTCATGCGGCGGATGCCCCAGACGATGGCTAGGCATTCGAGCTCCGTCGCACTGTAATTCCGTTCGGCTGAATTCAAAGTGCGACTCGCGTAGGCGATCACGCGCTCGCCTTCTTCAAACTGTTGCGTTAAGACGGCTCCGAGCCCGGTCGTGCTAGCGTCGGTCTGCAGAGAGAAACGGCGGTTGAAATCGGGGCAGGTCAGAACCGGTGCGGAAATCAGCGCTTGTTTTAACCGATCGAACGCGATGGATTCCTCCAGGCCCCACCTCCAACGGGCGTGCTTCTTAGTTAACTGGGTGAGCGGCGCGGCGATCGTAGAAAAATTCGGGATAAACCGTCTGTACCACGACGCCATCCCCACGAACTGACGGATCTGTTTCACGGTCTGCGGTTCTGGCCAACCGGCCACGGCGCGAATTTTCTCAGGATCGGTGCGAATTCCCTCGCGGTCGATGACGTGCCCGAGGTATATAAGGCGGTCTACACAAAACCGACACTTCTCCGGGTTCAGGCGGAGGCGCGCGTCACGTAGACGGCGGAAAGTCTCCCTGAGCAGCTCGAGATGTTTTTCAAATGTTCGGCTAATTACGATGATGTCGTCCAAGTAGACGAAAACGTGCGGTTCTAACTCGGGCCCGAGAACCGAGTCTAACAGTCGTTGAAAAGTGGCGGGCGCGGAGTGTAGTCCGAATGGCATCACCGTGAACTGGTAGAGCCCTTTACCCGGTATGGTGAAAGCGGTAACGGGTCGACTTCCCGGGATCAGCGGCACCTGCCAATAACCGTCCTTTAAATCCAGGGTGGACAGATACCGGGCCCCCCTCAACTTGTCTAGAGTCGCGGTAATTTGCGGCAGCGGGTAAGCGTCCTTATGGGTCACCTCGTTAACCCGTCGGAAATCGATGCAAAACCGCTGCCGGCCGTCTTTCTTTTTTACGACGACGATGGGCGAACTCCACGGGCTATGTGAGGGTTCGATAACCCCTCGGGCCAGCATCTCGTCTACCTCGTTCTCGATTATCGCCTGCATCGCCGGATTGCGGGGCCGATACCGTTGTTTGATAGGAGTATCGTCTCTCAATCGGATAGAATGCTGTGCCCGGTCCGTAGGCCCTTTCACCTCCCCGAATTTTCCGAGCTCGTTGTGCAAAAATTCTCGTAGGCGCTCGCTTTCGGCGGGGGTCTTCCCGGCCAAACCCCCGGTGGTGCAACATCGCCCTCGTGCTTGAATCACGTGCCGAGGGGGGGCCGGCGTGCCCAGACGTAACTTGGCCTGGAGGTCTACTCCGATGAAAACTTCATCGGAGAGACGCGGCATAATTGCGAACGTGTGTGTGGTCTTTCGTCCCGACACCTTGACTGGCAAGGTGATTGCCCCCGCGGTGGTGGCTTCCTGGTCATCGGCCAGCTGGATCTGGCTCTCTTCGGAGGTGACCTGAAACCCCGTTGTTGGAGGGTCTCGGCGATTTCGTCGTTGATGAGCGACGTTTCGGATCCGGTATCGATCAGGGCGTCGCACGTCAGGTTCCTGATCGTAACCCGTATATGCGGTCGCGGCGTGAAACTTATGCGGGGCTGGGAGTGGCGTCGACCTGTGTTCCTCCCGCCCCGTTGCCTTTTCCCGCCGGTGGATGGCATTGCGAAGTGAGCACCCCGTCCCGTCCGCACTGGGAACAGAATTTCTTCGCTGGCCGCTTGCACTGGCGGCGGGTATGCCCACGTTGTTTGCACCGCCAGCAGCACTCGGTTTTGCTATACGCGGCGGCCACCACGGGCTTTACTTCGGCCTTTTCCCTCTTCGCGGCCTCCTGCCGTTCTTTCACCAAATCCTCATGCTCGCGGGCTCGCGCCTGTAGCTCGGCGATGCTACCGAAATCCGCGCTCCGGATATAAAATTTATACTCTGGGTGCATGTGGCTGTACAAGTATTCGAGCTGCTCAAACGGAGAGAAACCGCCCAAACGGCGCATCAGCGTCATCATCACCGTGGAGTACTGTGCGAACGTCTCGTGGGCCCCCTGGTGCTTATTCTCAATTTCGCGACGCAAGGAAGCTACGTAACGATGGGGCAGGAACTGCAGTCGGAACGCGGCCTCAAAGTCCTGCCACGTGAGCCAGCTGCCTCGATGGTTACGATACCATAAAAGGGCATCCCCCCGTAGCAACTCCGATAAACCGCGCAGAATTTGCTCCGCTGTGATCTGATAGTTATCGCGGAGCTCGGCCAGGGTTCTAAGAACGCGGCGGGGTCACGGCCGTCGAAGTGACAACCGCTCTTCCGCAGCTGGTTGATTACCCGATTATCGGGCAAGGCCGGCGCTGCCCCGTCGACAGGCGCGTCGCGGACGATAGGAGGCGGGGCCGATACGATGACCTGGGGGTATGCAAAAGAAGGTGCCCCATGGTCATGAGGATCGGTCGTAAAATCATCCGGATTCGCGTCCGCGTACTCCCGCATGCGTCGGCGAATTTCATCGAGAGTGCCCGTGCTCTCTATGCCGTAACCTGCGGCTAGCACGGCCAGTTGCTCCTTCGGGAGCGCATACAACCACGACTTCATACTGAAATATTCGTACAACTCGCTTTTACACCTGTCGAATGCTCACGCAAACGGTCCCTGTTCGGGCGCCAATGTAACGTTCCGTTTTCCGGAGATTCGATTGCGGATAAACTCGTCGGATTCGGGGTAATGAATGGTGAGCGAATGTGTGATGTAAAAGAAAAGAAAGTATTTTATTCGAATTAAGCGTGTATACAAGTCGTGTGTGTATCTCGCTGCGATTATAACTGCGAGCGTGTTCGAGTGTATAAATTGTTTGATTACGCGTGCAGAATGCAAGTCAGAATGCGCCGATATAATCGTAGCGCGTATGTTCGATAATTCGCTGGTATAATACGCGTGTATAAAACGTTGTTTTGACGCGTGCGGATATGCGCTCGGTATCGGTCGAAGACCTCGTGTTGTTGTGACGGTGTTTTTGTCGCGTTTCTTGCACGGGGAATCCCGTCGTTCCGGGAATCCCGTGTTCGAAGAAAAAGCCAGTGGATTCCGAGAAACAACAAGTTCTTTCCGCGAAATAATATGCGGTCTCCGCGAATTAAAATATCGCGCGAATAAGTTGGAATCGCGTGTGAGAACAGCTGGCCTCGAGAACTCTCGATCGGGGCGGCTCTGAACTCCACCTTCCGTGGGTTTTGCCAGCCGGGATGTGGAGGAGCGGATGGAGGCAGTACCCCGCGCGATAACGAGAACTCTCGGCTTAGGCTGAGCACGCTCAACCTAATTGATCGGGGCGGTAGTGCCGGTTTTCAGGTATCTGGTAAATTCTCTTGAGCGTACAGCTTAGAGCGGAACAGGAGAATGTGTCTATTAGCCGAAACACGGCCTTTTTATACCGGCTAATTACCCGCGTCGGCGCGCGGCGGTTCTACCCCTTCCGAACGGGTTAATTGCGGTACGGTACGGTCGGGCCTGTTCGGAGGGATTCGGATTTTGCGCCGAGCGCGGGTTTTCGCCGGTCGGTCGGTCGGGCCGCGTCGCTTCGCTCGGCAATTCTCGGCCGTTTTGGATTTACAACGGCCCCGGTTTTAATAAGTATTAAAAATGTGGGCGCACCGCGCCCCTGCCTCTGCCCGGCGGGTGTTCTACCGGGCGGCAGCTTCCGGCGATGTTGTTGCCGGGAATTCGGAACGGTGCAATCGGAGTGCACCGTTACAAGACTATCAAGGCAAAAGACACATTTGTTCTTTCTGCTTTTCTGCCCGAAGATCCTAAATCAACAAGACCTTCTATCTGCTCCAGTTTCGAGGAATATTCTTCATAGCTTTTTATAGACATCTCATCCCATTTTAAAGCATACACTCTTTGTTCTTCAAGGATTTGTGCAATTTTTTCTTTTAATTTTTTAATTATAATATCACAAATCCTGGTTTTATACTGTATTCTTCTATCCATCTCTTCTAATTGTTCTTTGTCCAGGAAAATTACAAACCTGCTTTCTTTAAACGGCAAAATGCTGAGGTAAATAATAATATAATTGTTTGAAAGCATTTTCTCTTCTTCAGTATATCGTGTACG